TAATAAACCAAGTTTCTGGAGACCTTTTGTGCAGTGCCAGAAATAAAAGTAACTTTATGTTACCAGAGGAAAGAAGCAGGGCAAAGAAGTAAAAGTTAGATTTTACCATATGATTTATAATATTTTATATTAAATTCAGAATTTCATGATAAGGAAATATGGATACTTGTCTAAGTGTGTTCCTTTGACAGTCATTAATGAGTTTTTTTTGTTAGGTATCATTGATGGGTCTTTATGATTTCTCCTCATCTTTGGTTTTCAATCAGTTTGATTATGATATGCCTGGGTGGTATTTTCTTTGTATTTCTTCTGCTTATGATTTTCTGAGCTTCTGGTTTTGTAGATTGATGTCTTTCATCAATTTTGGAAAATTCTCAGCCATTATCTCTTCAAATACTTTTTCCTGAACTATCATCTTTCTCTTCTCATTTTAGGATTCCAAATGTATGTGTGTTAGACTGTTTATTACTGCCCCACAATTCTTTCATGCTCTAGTCTATTTTACTTTTTTTATTCTTTTTGACTTTATGCCTCAGTTGGAATAATTTCTATTGACCTCTCTTAGAGTTCACATATCCTTTTTCTGTTGTGTCCATTTCTGCTGTTATGCCCATTTAATAATTTTATTATTTCAAATACTTTAGATTTCTGTTCTAAACATTTTAAAAATTCTTTTCTGAGCTATTCAAAACTTTTTCAGTTATTTCTATCTTTTCCTCTAATTTTGGGTCCTATTTGTAATGATTGTAGTCTTAGTTAGTTCCAACATCCGGCCATTTGTGGGTTGGTTTCATTGATTGGTTTTCTTTTGTTCATGCATTACATTTTCCTCCTTCCATGGATGTCTCACAGTTGTGTATTAGATGCCAGATATTGTATATAAGCCAATTACAGAGACTGGAGTGGAAAATATTTCTCCTCCACAAGGGCTGATCTCTCTGATCAAATTAGGAATTGAGCTTAGTTGGGGTTGAGTTTATAGCTTTAGTTAGTTTTAATTTACTACCAGTTTCCAAAGCTTTAAGCTGTAAAAGGTCCCTCCTTCCAGCTGGGCTTGCTTATCCATGCACCATGTAACTAACATTCTGCTCTGCTCTCCAGTGCTGTCCCAGGATTTCTGTGCCACTGGAAATCTCTTTTTGCTCCCTATCTAGACTCAATTGCCCACATGCTGCTGAGCACTTGTTAAAAGTCCCACGGTTGAGAATTGGTAAATAGTGAGAACTTGCTCTTTGTCTGAGGCTGATATGTTTTCAGTGTTCCATAAGAGCCCATGATGGTTAAAAGTTCAGCCAGTTTCTCTTTCCCCTGCAAAGTAGTCTACCCAGTGACTGGTCTGCTTCCTCACCTGTTTCCTGGGATTAAAGCTGCCTCTATCCTAGTTCATATAGGAAGGGCTGATCCCTCTATGAGATTTAGTTTCCCCTAAATTTCTTTGTGTCCCCAGTTTCCCAATGGGTTAAAAATACAATTTTGTAATTTAACTGATTTGTTTCCTTTTTATGATGGAAGTGTTGGTTACTTTTGATCATCTTCATCATAACCGGAAGCAGGACCTTGAAGGCTCTCTGATTTTTGAAATCACTTAGTATACTTATTTTCTGTAAAAATAATAATCATTACCAAAAATCCAAAAGTCCAGAAAAATGAACAATGTTTTGTGAATGTGCATGGTTATCATTTTTGCATTTACTCTAGTCCTCTCTGGAGTGCTTTAATTTAAAAGTATACCTAAAAGTAGTTTAAAAGTGTATCCTTTACAGTTTTTTTTTTTTTTTTGAGACGGAGTCTCACTGTGTTGCCCAGGCTGGAGTGCAGTGGCCTGATCTCGGCTCACTGCAAGCTCCGCCTCCCGGGTTCACCCCATTCTTCGGCCTCAGCCTCCCGAGTAGCTGGGACTACAGGTGCCCACCACCACGCTGGGCTAATTTTTTGTATTTTTGGTAGAGACGGGATTTCACCATGTTAGCCAGGATGGTCTTGATCTCTTGACCTCATGATCTGCCCTGCCTCGGCCTCCCAAAGTGCCGGGATTACAGGTGTGAGCCACCGCACCCGGCCTATCCTTTACATTTTTAAAGTGTAAGGAATTTTACCTTCTCTTCCAATCCTCCATTTAACAGTAAGACTTCAAAATTCCCGTTTGCTTCTTGGATTCCGTTTTTTCTCCACTCACCTTTCACATGTACCTTTTGCAATATGGAAGATCAAATGTATCACCCTTATGCTATGCAGTGGAATTCAGCTTTGCAGCAGCTCTTCCTTCCAGAGGGGTACTCTTCTCTTTTAACTTTTATTTGAGGTTTGGGGGTTCATGTGAAGATTTTTTACATAGGTAAACTCGTGTCATGGGGGTTTGTTGTACAGATTATTTCATCACTCAGGTATTCAGCGCAGTACTTGAAGGTGGAGGGTGGGAGGAGGGAGAGGAACAGCATCACAGAGGCGTTCTTCATGGCATTCAGTAAATTAAGGGACTCTGAGGCTATTATAATCGCCACCTACCAGGACTCTCCTGACGGAGGGCATTGATAGTTGGGGGAGACCAACACATATATTTTTCTTAACATATGGTATTTAACTACAAAGCTACTGAAAAATCATCATGGGATAGCTATGGAAGTACTCAGATTTGTGAAAAGGATCCTCTGCAAAGTACGCTGAAATTTAGTGGCCTTTCTTGCCAAAGAGGAAACGAATGAATTACAAGCTACATACTGCAGGGCAGAAGATTTCTCCTACAATATGCAGCCAAGGAAAGGCACCAAACGAAAAACTACAACTGTTATCAGATAAAGTCATTTCCTTTAGTTAACAATTTATGGCTTTCATTTTCCTTCTCAGTATCGGTGACTAGGTGTGGTCTTGTTCACATGCTTAACTATTTTAGGGGCTGTCAGGGTAGTTGCATGTGACTCCCCCATCTTGTAGAACACGTTGAGATGGAGTTCCTCTTGAGGTGACACAGGACTGCATGGTATTTATTATTGTGCTTGGTAGCCTTGAACTATTTCTCACATACTCAAAAAAATGATGCTGCTGCTTTACATGTTCACAGATGTATTTTAACCTTGACTATGCTATTTTTCTGTTTATTAAAATGAACTATTACTAAGTCATCTTAGAAGTGGTTGGGATGGTCCTAGAATAAATAAATTTTATAAAGGCACATGTCATATTTTCTGGGAACGTTTGTATTTTTTTTTTTTGAGATGGAGTCTCGCTCTGTCCCCCAGGCTGGAGTGCAGTGGCCGGATCTCAGCTCACTGCAAGCTCCGCCTCCCGGGTTCATGCCATTCTCCTGCCTCAGCCTCCCGAGTAGCTGGGACTACAGGCCCACCTCGCCCGGCTAGTTTTTTGTATTTTTTAGTAGAGACGGGGTTTCACCGTGTCAGCCAGGATGGTCTCGATCTCCTGACCTCGTGATCCGCCCGTCTCGGCCTCCCAAAGTGCTGGGATTACAGGCTTGAGCCACCGCGCCCGGCCGAACGTTTGTATTTACTAAGTGGATAATTACATTAACTTTGAGAAGAAGATATTTATAGCTTTGTTTTTTATTGAGAGAGAACTCAAATGCATGGAAACTTGTATGTAAAAGAAGTGACTTCCTAAGACCGCAACAAAATTAATGATAGAATTGAGTCAGTACTGGACAAATTCTTAATTCATCTACTTTGAATGTATAGCTGAATACATAGGAGTTTAGTGTAACAGGGGCTCTAGTTTTCACTTCTAAATGCAGGGCTAAAAATAGATGAAATTATTGTCGATAGTATCAGTTCAACTTGATTTTTAAATGATGGCCCAAAACAGGATTCTGACTCCTTCTCCCAATTCAACTTTTATTCTCGTATCACAAAGGTTACTCACAGCCAACTAGCCAAATGAAAAGTACAGCTTGAATAAGGTTCTCTTTTGTCAGTGATTTGTGCCTAGTGTTTTTAGCTTTCCCATAGGCTGTTGTAAAAAAATGATAAATCTGGTTTAAATAAAACCTGATCCTGTTAATGGTTTAATAGCAGCTGCCACAAGGTTATGGCATTTTTCAACAGATGCCTCTGTTTCATTTTATACCTAAACTAAGTCTTGGAATATTTGTAAAAATAATATACAATATACCTACACACTTTTGGTTAAATATGTGTTTAAAAATAGTCTAAGTTCCAATCTTTGTCTACTTGTAATTATCCACACAAAATTCTAAAAAGAAATCGAAGGCTGTAACTCAGTTTTTAAAAAAGATTGTTTGTGTCTTACATTTCTCTAAATTTTGTTTTAAGGTCATGGAATAGGCTCCATCTCTACATCTGGGGACTTGATCAGTGGCTTGGTCATTCTGATTATTTCGCCTATCTTTACATTCAGTTCTATTTATTTGGCACTGACAACTCACTTATACAGCATGTGCATTATAGTGTCAACTGAAATAAACAGAAAAATCACAAAATTAAGTAGGACTCTATTTATTCTTCCAGAGGTGGACTTTGGAATAATAATTCAAGTTATTATTATGGGTAGGATAATTTGTGATAATTTATTTAATAACTTTTTAAAAAGCATTTGTTCTGTGTGATGCAGTTGTGCTGGGTAAGTGAATGATACAAAAATGAATGGCAGGCATTCAAAACAATGACTCTTATGGAAGATAGAAATAGTTATACAGTAGAGGTGCCAGCTCGATCAAAGAGGAATGAAATGAAAACACAGACTACTATGTGAGTTAACATGTTGCAAACTTGATTTCTAAAACGCATGAAGTTTAGACTCTTTAACTGGCAGGGTCAAATTTGTGTAGATCACATTTTCATGGTTGCTCAATTACCTGGGGCTAGAAGGACTGTGAATGTAAAGGCATTCAATGGTGAGTTTTCAAGGGCCAACCACAGGAGTATAGACCAACGTTTTACTTAATTCTAAATTGTGTATAGTCATCACTGACTGTAACGTGTTTCTAAAACCACAAGCGTCTCTATCTTCTCTTTTCTTAATATTTTTCATAGGTGCTCCCTCAAAAGAAAAATGTGAGCCCTGGCATGGCTTTCTTGTTTGAACTCTTTCTCCTTCGTGGCACATATGCTTGCCTGGACCAGGCTGTGGGCTGGGCAGTGTTCCCTTTGTGTGATAACAACTTTAATACAGTGGAGGGAAAATATAAGTGTCCCCTTCTCCGAGGACATTATGACCAGAAACTCAGCAACTTTAGGAAGATTGAAGATTTGATTTGTCTGGACTTGGACCATTGGCTGTGCAATCTCTATTTTCAGGTTTGCAATATGATTTTTTAAGTGGTAAGGAATTAAAATGTTTTCTAAAGCTGCCTCTTTCTAGCCTTCAGCTTCCTTTCGTGCCATTGGAAAATTTAATAAGTAAAGTGGCATAGAATGGTAAAAGTTGTTACATCTTAATGCTGATTTCTGATAATACAGATTAAATCAATATTTGGAAAAAGGAATAAAATTATAGAATTAGTGGGAAATTGAAACATCATTTAATAAAATTTTCTGCGTTGTGAATGGGCCAGAGCTGCCACTCAAGTCTCAGTTCACAATCTGTCACTGCTGGGGCACAGTGTGCAGCTTCATCTCATCAACGTGGGGATGGAGCTCTGGTAAGTTTCCTTGTCAAGGTGAATCACTTGATACCAGGCGTTCAAGACCAGCCTAGTCAACATGGTGAAACCCTGTCTCTACTAAAAAGCTACAAAAACTAGCCAGGCTTGGTGGCACACACCTGTAATCTCAGCTACTTGAAAGGCCGAGGCAGGAGAATTACTTGAACCCAGGAGGCGGAGGTCGCAGTGAGCCGAGATCGCACCACTGCACTCCAGCCTGGGCAACAGAGCAAGACCCTATCTCAAAAAAAAAAAAAAAAAAGTGTTTACTGAGCTTCTATTGTGCATTGGGCATTGCCTGCTCTAGGGATGCAAAAAGGATAAGCATTCCAGTGCATTCATGGTGTGTTCCTTGTACCCAAATTTATTCTTCCTGATTATGATGTTTTTCCCCAGGTTTTTTGTGTCATATAATGCCATAAATTGTTCTTCTTCACCTTCATGTTTGAAGTTTTACTTATATCTATGTAATGTATCTGTCTGTCTGTCTGTCTACCTATCTGCTTACCTAACTGATAGAACTATTCAATTGGGTGTTCCCAGGAAGCACAAGTAATTTCATCCTTAAAATCAGCAACGGTCTTCCTGTTTCCTATTTACTTTGAGTAGAATTACCTGGCATTTTTTCTTCTTATCTAATTCCATTATAATGTTTTGCTGAAATGTCGTGTTGGGGCAGTGTAGGTATGCTATTAATAAAATAATGTTTATATGAATATGTACCTGTCTATTCATTTTGGAAATAGTGCCATCCTAAGATAAATCTGATTGCACACTAGAATTCTGTGGGAAGTTTTAGAAATACCTTTGCCTGGGTTCTAGTCTCAGATATTTTAATTTAGTTGTTTTGTGGTGGGGTGTCAGGCATCAGAACTTTTTAAAACCTTCTAAGAATCAGAAATGCTGATATAAATAAGCTTGAAAAGGAAGACTATTATAAGTGAATGTAAAAAAAAATGGAAAATTTATCTAAAGGTTGAAGATAACTATAGAAAATCCATAAGAAAATATTTTAAAAATTGGTGACCTGAATTCCATATCAAGAGTCAAAATAAATATAGCCATAAGAAAGTAAAGTTTGAGCTGGGTGTGGTGGCTTATGCCTGTAATCTCAGCACTTTGGGAGGCCGAGGCGGGTGGATCACCTGAGGTCAGAAGTTTGAGACCAGCCTGACCAACATGGTTAAACTTTGTCTCTACTAAAAATACAAAAATTAGCTGGGCGAGGTGGCAGGTGCCTGTAATCCCAGCTACTCAGGAGGCTGAGGCAGGAGAATCGCTTGAACCTGGGAGGTGGAGGTTGCAGTGAACCAAGATCGCGCCACTGCACTCCAGCTTGGGCAACAAGAGCGAAACTCTGGCCCAAAATAAATAAATAAATAAATAAATAAATAAATAAATAAGTAAATTTTGGTCTAACTCATGTGGAAGACATCTATAATTATTAACTGACTTTTTCACTAACTGTTTCCTAAAATTCAGCGTTCTATAAATTATGGGATGGAAAGTCAGAACCAGCTTTGTTTTATAAAAGACAATTTATGTAGTACTGTTATTCATCATAAAGACAGTATATATTTGAGGTTAAATTCGAAGTAGTGTTTAATATTTGCAAGGTCAAGAAAAGTGGGTATATTTTAGCAGCGTTAGAATAATTTGATTTGACCAAAATCTACTTGAATTTGAACGTATTACTAAAATTTGCCTCGTTTTTTTCTGACTTTCTATTAAAAATACTCTGTAGAGAAAAATAAGGAATACTATAATTTATTTGCAGAGTTCAGCTGGCATTATCCATTAGAAATGGATGCAATTGTCCACTAACATTCTTATTTGATAGACAATAAAAATAATTTTCTCCTTCTGAACATTTCATGGGGAAGTGAGTCTTATTAGTGAGAATAATAACATGCAAGATGCATGATTTTCTGATTATAGGCAGAATAAGTAGGCATGTAGATCCTTCTCTCTCATGAGGACAAAAACAAAAAACTGCTTTTCTGGAAACCTCAGTTTCCTCTTATGTGAAATTCTAAAAGTTGTGGATTTTTCCAATATAAGTTTTCTCAAATGCAAACATTTTTGAACAAGTTAATGCTGTATTTACTCAGAAAAGAATAAGTTGGAATTGGGAAGAGAAAAGAGAAGTAATGCAGATGATGGAACAGCAAAGTGTTTTTTTGCAATGCCCTGTTGGAAGATAAAAAGGAAACAAGTCAATCCAGGTGAATCCTGAACATTTCTCTCCTGGGTCAGTCAGTGTGGAGAAACTTATACTGTCAACGAGGGGCTGGCAGAGCCAGGTCACGTGGCTTAGCCATGAATTCACGTGTTCTTTCACGGTGTCATTAGGGATAGTACTCAGACTAATAACCCTGAGCATCCCAGAGGAGATTGGCCAACAGCTCTGAGACTCCCCACAGCATGTGTGTAAGGATGCAACAGTGAAAATGATGTCAGAAAGATAGCCTGTCACTCTTTCCCAGGAAACTTTGTCTGTCAATTCCTCACTTTCCTGAATATTTCACTTCTTGTGTCATTACTGTCTCCAAGCACTTTTACTATTAAAATTTTAAACATAGAGAAAAATTGAAAAAATTGTATAATGAGCACTCATTCACTGCTAGATTCTACAATCTTGTCATTTCTTGTTGAACTTAAAATATTATTTCTTGGAGATGGTAAATAGTGAATGAATATTTGCTAATTTTCTCCTAGTATGAATGTTAGATAGTGTTATTTGGAAGAAGAAATTTTAAAAATTATAAACTGAAATAAAGGAGAAACTAATATATAGAGAGCAAATGGTACTATCTGAAGCACTTGTGTAAATTTGTTAATGCAAAAAACCTGCATTCTTTGTAATGCAACCAAACAAAAGCATATAATGTATGGAAAACTGAATTTATTATTGATATTTTAGCTTTTTCAAATTGTCTCTTTTTTAAAGATGAAAACTATGTAATAGTTTCAACAATTTAGATAACAGATTGATCTCTTAATAGGTCATCAAACTTCCTTTGCATCTTGATGGTCAAAAAAATCATGAAAGCCATACTCGACTTTCCCCTGAATTTCCAGTTTGCCTAATGGCTAAAGGAGAGAAAGCAGAATCAGGAGTGGATAATACAGCTGGCCTTTCAGAGAAAGAAATAGAGAAGAACGCTTGTGCCTCAATGGATGAGGAAGAAGCTAAATCCACGGTATACTCTTCTCAGGGTTGGTTGACTTTTTTTCCCCAGCATTCTATTGCTAGTATTTCACGTCGTGTTGTATAAATTATATTACGAATATAAGAAACTATCATTCTTTTTAAATATGTTTGAATATTAGTTTTTATATCACATTGTCTATTACATACGTAAATATAAAATAACATCATTGAAACAAGTCTTTCTCCATGTCCTTATTGCTTTGAAAGTTTTTTTGTTGTTCTTGTTAAGGGGGCATAATTTGACTTCTGTTGGTTCTTATTTTTAGATTTCAATTTTTCTTGCATGCTTACAAGACTAGTAACCAAAAACTGGCTATGAAAGATAACATATTTTCAGAAAAATAGTTGTCAATTAATATAGTTTATTTTATTGGTCTTTGTCTTCAGGACTGGTTTAGTCAGGCAGTAAATAAGCAAATAAAGTTTTTTGAAATAGTCAATCTACAAAAATTCCAACTTACAGAATATATATGCTATTAGAGATTATTCTCCTTCTTCTAAAAGGATTGTTGCATTTACCAGAAGATTCACAAGCTTCTTTAACAGGGTGTATCCTCTAGCAGTAAACATTCGTGTCAGTTAAAATAGCAGTTGATGGATTGGTATTAATTATAATAACGACAGCATGTAATAGCACTACCAGCATTGTACTAATGCTACAAGTATTACCAGTGATAAGCAGCCTTGTAATAAGTACTTTATTTTTATTTTTGAAATTATTAAATATTTTAAACATCTCATACAGAAAATAACATAGCAAACACCAGTACCCAGTAGCCAGCTTTGCTGATTTTTACCATTTTGCCGTATTACTTCCCATTTTTTCTATGAAAAAATAACATTTATCAGTGATTAATGCTCCCTGTGAACTGCTTCCTAATTCCATTCTCAGCCTTCTCAGATTTGTTATTGATCATTTCCATGTATATTTTAAAACATTTTCTACATATATATGGAATCACTAACAATGTATATCTTTTCTATGTTTTTAAGCTTTGCATAAAATATATCATACTTCACATCTGCTTCTGCAACTTTTATTTTCTGTCAACGTTGTCTTTGATATTTATCTAACTATATCTGTCTATTTCTAATTTACTAATTTTGTTGTATTGACTTCCTTTGCAGGATTGTAACAAAATTTATTTATTTATGTTATTGTAGTTGTTTCTAGTTATACTCTGTTGCAAACAAAGCCACAATGACCAGTCCTGAACATGCTCTGCTTGTGCACATGGGTGGGAATTTCACTAGAGACTATATAACCCCCAAAAGAATGGCTGAATCACATGCACACACTTTCTAAATGTATAGACTAGTGACACTGCCACCCCTAGTGTGTCAATTTACCCTCCTTACAGTTGTGTAAGAGAGTTGCTTTGGCCCACATTCTATCAACCCTTGTTGCTGTCAGATTAGTTTTGCCAATTCAATTGCCATGAAATAATATCTATTTTAACTAGGATTTTTCTGGATACAAGTATATTAGAGCATTTTTGAAACTACGTATATTTCTGTTGACCATTTGGGTATTATCTTGTGGAAATTGCCTGTTCCTATACTTTGTCCACTTTTTCTTTGGGCCATGTTTTGCCTCATCGACCTGTAAGAGTTCTGGGGCTTTGTTGCTGTTGTTGTTGTTGTTGTTGTTTTTAGGAGGGTGGTAGGGGACATTTATTTTCTGGTTCAATTTTTGATTGTTACTTATTATGCCATCTTTCTATGTTTAATTCATTAAAAACCAATTGGGTTAACTTGGTCATGGTACATTATCTTTTTAATTTTTAAATTTATCTCCTTTTGTTTAAGTTTTATTGAGCAGGTGATATATTCACATTGTTCAAAAGAAAACCTGTCTTCCCCTTCTGCTCCCCAGCAACCTAGTTCTTCTCCCTGAAGGAAACCGATGTACTACTCAATAGATATTTTTATGTATCTATAAGAAAATACACAAAACTACTACTATAATTTTGAAATACAAGTAACTCTATCATTATATTATATATTTTTCTTGTCATTCCTAATGTTGATTATTAATATTAGCCATCGTTGTTTTTCCTTATTAGTCTTGCTCTTAATCTTTTCATTTATTTTTTTTCAGTATTCAACTGACATTTACCTTCATTCAAGTTCTCCACTGATTGTTTATTTTCTATGTATTTATTCTCTTGACATTTTTATGTATCTTAACTTTTTATTTATCCACACATTGTGTAGATCAGAGAAAATCTACACATTGTAGATCAGAGAAAATTATGAATGGATCTGTCCATTGCTTCCTGTAATTTTGTCAGATAATGCTTTATACATTTTGAATCTGCTAAGTGCATACAAGTTTATAATTGTTATAGTTTGGAGGATGTTATAATTCTTTTCTACTTCTGTTTGTCTATTAATACTTTTGAATTTATGTTCTGTTTCATCTGATATGAATGCTACACACCTGAATTACTAATTTTTAGTATTTTCATGGCACACATTATTATGCTACCCCTTATTTTTAAATTGTAACATTTTTCTGTAGTACAGTTTGGGCATGTATCAATTAGTAGCATAAATCTGGATTTTATTTTCAAGACAAATTAAGGGGTACAAAAATACAATTTTAGATAGAAGGAATAAACATTAGTATTTGAGAGTACAGTAGGAAAATTATAGTTAACAATAATTTATTGTATGTTCCAAAATAGCTAGAATATCAGATTTGTAATATTCATAACACAGAGAAAAGATAAATGGTTGAGTTGATGGATATCCTTAATACCCCAATTTGATCATTAGCCATTGCAGAGAGGTATCAAAATACACATGTACTTCCAAAATAAGTAAAACTCACATATACTAATTAAAAATAGAAGAAAAGACAAGTAAATAACATGTGCCATTTAAATAGGTAAGTTTAAAGTTTTGGAAATTACTCTTATTATTGTTATATTTGTACTTGTTGATGGCATCTAATTTTCACTTTAAATTTACCGTCCTATTTCTTTGCTTTAAAAAAATTAATTTGTTTATGCCCTTCTGTCTGTGTAATCTACAGATTTCATCCATTACTTTAGATGTTATCCTTAATTTCTCACTTACATATTTAACTATAAAACATCTTTAAAATTCTAAGCTCATTCCGTATTTCCGTTCTTTTCCTGGATGTGGCAAGGACTTTTGGCATGCCTTGCCCATTGAAAACAACTCCTCTTCCAATTGCTATTATTGGCTATGGTTTCAGTTTCACTTTTTCATTAAACACAACAGTTAGTATTTTTTACTCTTAATAGAAAATTAATTTAATGACATATTGATGCTTCATTATATTTTTAAGATAGCGTGTCTTCACTCTGGCTCCATTTTCCTTCTTGCTGAAATAAGTCTTTAGTAATTTGTTTAGAGTTTGGATCTCTCTTAGTCATTGTATATCCGAAAGAGTCTAGTATTTTCCCTCACTTTTGATAGATCATTTAGCCATGTATAAGATTCTAGGGTAGTAATACCTTTTCTTTACCATTTTTTCCACTGCCTTTTTGTGTGTCTTGCGGCTGATCAGAGATCAGTGTTAAGTGGGTAGCCAATATAAAGGGGAGTGATGTATTTCCATTTCAATTTTAGATAGATCACTGAGAAATTTTAGGAGGATTTATTTGAGCAGGGCATGTCTAAAACCAGAACAGGTCGGAAAAGCTTAGAGTAGTCCAAGCAAAAGATGAGGACCTCAATTAGGGCAGAGATAATAAAGTTAGAGAAGAGAATGAACATTCATAAAGTGTTAAAGAGGGGCGATAGAATGGCCATAAACATGATGTTGATTGATTGAATATGGACGTTGGAGGATAACAAAAGTTGATTCCTAAACTTTGAACACAATAGATATGGATATCAACCAGCAGATAATAGGAACTATAGGAAGAGGAATAAGAGTAGAGGAAAATCAGGAGCTTGATTTTGGATCTGCAGAGTTTGATATTTCTGTATTATATCCAAATAAAAATGTTGAAGGGGGCTGGGTGTGGTGACTCACGCCTGTAATTCCAGCACTTTGGGAGGCCAAGGCGGGTGAATCACTTGAGCTCAGGAGTTTGAGACCAGTCTGGGCAACATGACGAAACCCTATCTCTACTAAAAATACAAAAAATTAGCCGGGCATGGTGGCAGGTGACTGTAATCCCAGATATGCAGGAGGCTGAGGCACGAGAATCGCTTGAACCCAGGAAGCGGAGGTTGCAGTGAGCTGAGATTGCGCCACTGCACTGCAGCCTGGGTGACAGAGTGAGACTCCATTTCAAAAAACAAAAAGAAATGTTCAAGAGATCATTGGGAAATGGACGTGAAGCTCAGGAGGGAGATGGAGAATGGGGAGGGAGTATATGTTCATTAGGGCCATGTGAACACAGAGACTGTAGCTGAAACTGCTAAGTGGTTGAGTTTAACCAGAAAGAATGTATAGAGGGATAGGCATGTTGAGTTGAGAACACAGATCAGGGAAATGGCAATATTTCAGGAGAAGAATGACAGATCCCTACCATGGAGCCATAATGGCCAGACACAATGCCTACACGATTCAACCTCCCAGGTGACACCTGTCTTCCTGTCTTCCGCTTATCAGCTTCATAGAGGGCGATAAATACTTCTCAAGTTGTTACTGGGGTTCTCCAAGTCCCTTAGAGATTATGCCTTCTTGGACCAAGTACAACTCTCTGCCAGGCTCAAGTATTAGTAACCCCTGCTTTCCTAAGGGCAGATCTACTATGAGGCCTGGGCTTCCATATACACACCTGACCTGCTTTCTTGGGAGTAAGCCAATATCATATCACAATTGAGATACCACCACTTCCACCTCCAGACAACTAAATATCAGTTTATAGAGTGATGTCTACCTGGAGATGTGTTGAAATTTTATACACAGAATACATATATATCAAATTATGTCACTGGCTTTAAACAAATATTTCTGAAGATAAATTAGAAATCAGATATATGCTGAAGCTATGTAACAAGCATCACAGTTATAAAGCAACTTGACCAAAGTGTATTGTTTCTCTCATGTTAGAACTAGGATTTACGGCCAGAGAA